ACCTGGGACAAATACAAATTCCTCTCACTCTGAATGTAAATAGTCTCTATTTCCTAGAAACTAAAATCAGTCACCGAACATCAATAATTTCTCACCAAGCACATCTCTAGCCTTCACTGCCTAGACTCAGAGGGATCTCATTTTAAAGAACAGCCTCCTCTTAGTTAAGCCCAAAAAAGCATTAACATTAACCAAACAATAACCTCTACAAAGTAGAGGACAAGGAGACCTTCATCAATTTCATTTGATAGCTGACCCCTCCAGTGGATTTTCAGAGGCTGTAAATTTCAAGTGAAGAGACTGCTCATCTTTCTCCAGTGGTGACCCTGGTGAGATGAACCACCAGCGGTACCTTTTGGGTCAGCAGCACAACTTAGTCTTAAGCAGGTTTTCAGAAGCTGTAAATTGCATAGGGTAAGACCGCCTATCTTTCTCCCAAGTAAACACTGCTGGATTTGAACCACCAGAGAGCCACCTTTAGGTTAACAGTACAATGCCTTATTACTTCTCCATCAGAACCAGCTACCCCTTTCCTTGGGAAAAAGTAGACAAGAGTGAAAGGCTGGGGGATGGGAAGTGCAAGGGGACCTTTTCCATCAATCATTTCATTTGATAATAATTAACATGTACCCACACACTGTTCTAAAAACGGAAAATATAATTTTACAAGACAAAATAGCACTCCTAATGGAAATATTTTCGCAAACTGCATTAAGAGATAGTAAAGTTATCTTATTAGCTGGGGAATTTCGGGATTTTTTTCACATTATTTGTTTCTGACATACCCAAGGAGAAACAGAAATCGCATTCATCTAACAAACTTACAAGATTTCTGCTGACTCTCACATATGAGGTTGTGTGCCTCTAAACTAATTTTCAAAGGTGATGTTTCTTCAGTTCAAACTTGCATTCACCAAATCATGGCACAAGTATTACAGAGCAGGTGACTTGTCCAAGACTGACAGATAGCCTGGAGTCAAACATGGACAAAGTGACAGTTGAAGGGATATTCCCTTCACTCCTCATACAAAGTCAAAGCCTGCATTTAAAACTGACTTATGTCTGTCTCTCCATTGGATTTCTTAAGTGGTAAATCACATGGAGGAGACTGTCCCTCTTTCTCCGTGAAGCAGCTGATGGATTCAAACCACCAGAGGAACAACAGACTACCAGAATTCCCGCTATACTCTGCAAGCATTGTCTATTCATTTTTAGCTTGATCTGCAAGACTGAGGTTGGAGAAGACGAGAGAAAAAGATGTCTCTAGTCACCAGTTTTTAAGCCTAAAGGATGACATAAAACTGCCTGACTCCGGCTAGGGAGATGAACCTGGCCCTCTTCCTTAAAACAGAAAGCTCTTGACTCCCACCTACCTACCAAAGTAGCTAATTTCTAGACCAGAAGTCTGCCAGACCATGGGCCAGGAGCAGTTCTGACGACTGTAGGACACATTCATGGTCTTCCGCCTGGGTCAGGCTCTTTCCAGAAACCCTAAAGGTCACAGGGGGCTCAAAGGAATTCAAGTGTGTCATCAAGATGTGCTACATAAATACTTATTTAAAAGTTAGAAAACTACCTTTGGTGCTGTTCTCTAGACTTCTCTTTTTTAATACCGAAAACAAAACAATGACTGCATAATCTGGAAAACTACTTTAGGTACTATTTTAAAGCCCAAGCAGGAACAGGGACACATCTCTTCTAGGCAAGAAGCTGATTTGCATAGTAGTTTCAGTATCTAAAACTGATGTGAAACTGAATGAGCTGAAGTAGCCAGTGTTTAGGGTGAGGCTAAAAAGACCCAGGGCAAGCAGGGTAGGGAGCTTGCCGAGTGAAGCGACCACTCTCCCACATACCACAAAGGTGGGGGCATCTAGGAGGACCCACAAAATAAGGAGAAAGAAAAATGTCCTTTATCCCGGATCGTAACATCTAGAAAAGCTGTCTTAGGCTATTCCTATGAAAAACAGGCCTCAAGTAGTAAGACCAGAAAGGAAGGGCAGGACCTGCCCTCTCCCTAAGTGTAAAAGGGGTCTCGAGGATGCCAATCCCTGGCCAGGTGGCCTGGGATCCTAAAAGCGGCGACAGCTTCCCGAGTTCGCCATGCCTTTCCCCGCCCCGGTCACAGGGTTCCAGAGGCCTTCACGTGGCCCCAAGTCCACGCCCACCAGGCCCAGCCGGGGCCTCCGGCACGCGGGGCCTTGCTCTCTCCCGGGACCAAAGATCTTTAGTGGGTGGCAGATCCGATCGCGGATGGACGAGCCAAGGCTTCGTACTCTGTGCCGGCAGTGTGGATACGCAGCGCTCACTAGGCCCGAACCGCCGTTCCGAGGAAGCCGATCGCGCCGGTCGGGGCCTGCATGACACAGCACGATCCGGCCCAGGCCCCGACCCGGGCCCAACGCAAACCCCACCTAGAGGGCGCGCGGGTGCGCAGCCAGCCCCAGCCAGGCCCGCGGCCCCTCAGTCGCCCCTTCCTCTCCGGCCCTCTCTCCCTTCTGCTCAGTCTCCACCCTAGACACGCTCACCGCAGGGCCGGGCCTGGCCTACCCAGCGCGGCGGGTCTCCCCAGTGCGCGCACCCCCGGCGGGCGGGCGGGGAGGCGGCAGGTCGCGCGCGCGCACACAAATACACACATACACACACACTCACTCTGCTCCGGAGGCCATGGCGCGCGCCTCTCCCGGCCGGCGGCTGTGGCGGCCCACGAGTAACGGCTACGAGGGGTAGCGGGCTATCAACTAGACCGAAGCTCGGCTCTCCAAAGCGGGGGCTTAGGCAGCGCCGACAAAGCCACAGGCGACTTCTCTCTCGCTTCCTCCCAGCGGCACTGGGGCTACGGGCCGGCGGAAGACGCTGGATCCGAATACGCGAGGGGGGCAGCAGAAGCGACTACCCAAACGACGGCTGCCGACGCTCCGCTGAGACTGAACAGAGAAGAGCCGAATCATCGGAAGGAGAGCCGCTCTCATTTCAGCCAATCACCGTCTGCGCTGGGAACTCCTGCCCGCCTCTCGGCGCCTCTCCCCAGCAACCCGCGGATTAGAGCCAATCAGAAAATTTATTCGTGGCTTTACTCCCGCCTTTGGGGTGCAACACGCCTAGTAACGTCAAACCAATTGGCTGCAACGCTACGCTTCCTCGACGGATTGGGATTCTCAGCCAATCAGCAAGAGGAATGGGGCGAGCTCTACTGGCGCAAGGCAAGCATTTAATCCCTGGAGGTGGACTCTCCCACTTGGCTCTAGTTCATTGGCTCCTAGCTTATCCTCCTGGCACAATGGATTGAAACCTTGTATTAGTGTAGTTCTGCTCTGTCACTTATGAGGTCATCGTGAGTCAGAATCCATCCAACAACTAACATTAGCTATGATGGCCTGTGGTAAATTGCTGTACCGCCAACCCAAAGATGGTGATGGTGTTAGGTGATCTGGTGTGCAGGTCGACTGTGTGAACAACAGATTTGAACTCTGAACCAGTATCATTATCTGACATACTTGAACTCACTGTGTCAATCCATCTCCATGAGAGTCTTCCACTGTTTCACTGACCCTCTACCTTTCAAAGTTCTTTTGGCATCTTCAGCATTCTTATTTAATACTACAATTTACAGGCATCAATTCTTCTTGTGTCATCCTTATTCACTGTCCAGCTCGCAGATTCATAGCAAGAGACCGAAAAAGCCCATGGTCTGTATCAGGCGTGCCTTACTCCTCAAATTGACATTCTTGCTCAATAATTTGGAGAGGACCTTGACTAGACTTTCCTAGGGCAATACATTTTTCTGATCACCTGATTGCTAGTACTAATTGTACTTGTGGATCCAACTAAGATAAAGTCATTAACAATCTCATTCTTTCCTCCATCTATCATGATGTTGCCTATCAATCCAGTGGCTAGGATTTTTGTTTTCTTGACATGAGATACAATGTCAAGATTCCTAGTAGACAAGAGTGCATAGGAATCAAATTGATAAATCTGTGGAAGACATAGTTGGAGAAACTCAGTATCAGCATTCAAAACCAGACCAGACCATCAATTTACTCATTTCGAGAGTCAAATTGAAGCTGAAGAAAATGACAAGTTCATGAGAACCAAAATATGATCTTGAGTCTATCCTACCTAAACATCTTAAGAGTAGGTTTGAAGTACTGAAGACCAGAATGTGTTGTTAGACGACATTAAGGAGATCATCCATGAATACAACAAAAGGTCACTAAAAAGACAGAGAAGAAAAAAACAAAACGGATGTCAGAAGAGAACTCGGAAATTGCACTAGAGGGTCAAGAAGCCCGGGAAGCATTAGTCCTTGGCAGAAGACATCATGCTTGGAAAAATGGAGTTTAAGAAAGAATAACCTAAAAAAAAAGAAAGAAAGAAAGAATAACCTCAACAAGATGGATTGACGGATTGACTTAGTGGCTGTAATGATGGCCTTAAGGTAGGGCAAGGTTTCAAGTTGTCTTTTTGTTGTTATGATAATGTTGTTGTTGTATACCGTTGAGTTCACAGGTTTTCAGAGGCAGTTAACAGCATGGAGGAGATTGTCCATCCTTCACCTGTGGAGCAGCTGGTGGATTTGAACCACAAATCTTTGGCATTGCAGCATAGCTATGCTACTTACCACTAGAACACCAGAGCTCCCTTGTTATGATATTAGGAAAGGGTTATCTTGACAACCAACACTTAACTGAATCTAGAAATTCTGAGCCTTTCAAGAATACACAGTAGGCATACAAAAGCTAAATAGGAAATTTTATTCATCACATGAAAAGGGAAAAGAGGAAAAGGTACCATAAGCAAAGGCAATGTCTTGTTGGGGGACAGAGAGTGACTGGTGCTTCTTCTGGAACCAGAGCGGCAGTTATGAAGGCAAATATGGCAAGACAATTGCCAATCTCTCCAATATTGAAACTATATAGGAATAGTAAGCTCCAGTCACACTTCTTAAAAATGGCAAAACAAAGTTATTCCCCAGTGACATGATTCTTAAGAGTCCCAACTTAAACTGGTCTAGAAAACATGGCAGCTTCAGAATCAGAAGACTCCAACTGAGATGACTGAAACTCTTTCAGGAGGGTCTCCCGGTCTGGGAAGTGGATCCATCTCAAACAGGTTTCCAGATATAGGGGGAGAGACCTGGAGAGAAGCAAGAAGCCTCAGAATAAAAGATAGGCGGAAAGGTTGTTTAGCTGTCCCTTCTCTTTCATTCCCTTCCACTTTCATCAGGCCCACAGCTCCAGAACTTCACGTTTTGAAGCCCCAAACCAGCAAGCCTCAGCCTCACCATGTTTTATCTTCCTGCAGCAGCTTAGTTTGTGCCTTCAGATTCCGCCAGAGAGCAGAGACTTCATTCTTCCGATCTAGCCTTCTCAGAGTCTGAAGCAGGTAAAATGAAGCATCTTGATTTCCTGTACCCATATGCCAGAATAGAGAGCTTAGGTCCTGGCAGAGCCTTAGGAATCATTTTAAAAAGAGTAAACTGAATCCTAGAGAGGGGAAGTATCTTGTTTACAGTCACAAAATGAACTAGAGAGAGATCACTCCCAACCATTCTTATCCCAGGGTCTACCTTGACTATTATTAACAAATGAAGAAGCCATTTTCTTTCACTTACCTATTAAAAAACTCAACCAGGATTGCTTATACCAAGCCTCAACCCCAATGCAGTCACTGTCACATCTGAGGACCTGGGAAGACCTAGAAACTCTGGATATACATTTGTGTATGCCTATGTCTACATCTGATTATATCATCAAGTATGAAAGCACAATCCCGTTCACTTTTCCTATTTGAAAAGCAGATACAGTAAAATCCCACTCACGCCTCCTGGGCCCTGTAAACATACATGTCTATGTGCACTCCTGTTATATATCTAGGTAAGTATAGCACAATTCCACTCACTTCTGTCTGCAAAGCATATACAACATAATCTCCCTCATCATTCCTCCCTATCCCCTTGACATCCACGTCCAATACCTCCCCAGGGCTTCTGACCATGAGTATTTGTGCATATCTGATGTCATACATGTACACTAACCTGGGCACATCTGCACACTGAGGAGAAAGTCTTGTAGGGCTTTGGTATCCTGGCCACTGGCCATCCATTCCAGTCCACGACTAATCAGGGCAGCTAATCGAAGCTGTAGTGCCACTTCTGGTCTGCACTTCTCACAGTTAGGGGATGACCCTGGGTCAAAAAAGTGGCTTCCCAGTCAAACCATCACCAAAACCCCAAGCCTCTCTTACTCTTTTTTCTTGTAGCCAGTAGTCCCCTTCCCTTAAGTCTTCTGAGGGTTTGAAATACATCGAGAGAAAACCCACATCCAGTATCACCATTTTCAGGAAAATTAAGTTTAGATTACCTTGTTTGTCCTCAGGTGTGGTTCGAAAGAGCAGCTGAAGGCACCTAAAGTGGGGCATGGAATAGAAGTTCAACCTAAGAAACTCCGGATCAGGTAGGTAAAGATAGAGCTCACACCTGGGTTCCAGTCACAAAATTATTCCCCACTACTTCCCCAGAGGTTCTTGTTCTCACCGGCTAAATTCACTAACTGCCTCTTTTTGCACCCCAAGTTTCACCCAGGCCTGGCCCTGAAGCAGGTAGGTGGCAGAGACCCAGAGCGGACAGTGTATGGGCTCCTTGGCTCCACTTCTGGAATCTTCGCACATCCAGGGCATCTTGGGAAGCAGGGATGCAGTTCGGCTGAGCAGCTCCTCACATACAGTCAAAGAATCCTGAGCTCGGTTCGCCTGGATCAGTGCTGCAGCTGCCTCCAAGAACACCTCAGGTACACAGGGCCCTGGGGGGCAGCAGGGTGGAGAGAACTGGGGCAGGAGAAAAGTATAGATTGATTTGGAAGAGGCATAAGCCAGTATGATCAGCCTCTTTACCAGGTTCTAGCACCATGCAAAAGGAGCTCTCATGGTTTAGTGGTAAGAAGCTGTGCTGCAATCCCAGAGGCACACAGTTCTAGTCCACCAGATGCTCTATGGGAGAAGGAAGAGCAGTCTCCTTCCATGCAATTTACTGCCTCTGAAAACTCACTGGAGGGTCAGCTATGAGTCAGTTCTGACTTGATGGCACACAACAACAACAGTAACATGCAAAGGCCATCATCCATTGTCTGTTGTTCTAGGAAGACTTCCCAGTTTGGTCTCTACCCTTCCTACCACCCAGATTGGACAAACAGAACTGTAGAGGCAAAACCAGAAACAGCAGTCCTATTCTATTTCAGAGAGGACCCTAACCCTCCCTCCTTATTGCAAAGAATCTTGAAGACACACCTACCTTTGGCTCTCGGCCATCTAGTAACCAGGCCAACAGGTCCAAGTAATGCTCAGCAGCATCTTCTGCCCTGAGAAGTCATAGCCAATGAACCTCACGTTAGGTCTCTAGCAGGTCCCTCCAAGGGCTCCAGTGAGAAAATTTTCCCTTAGCTAGTGGAAGAATGCCCAAGGGCTGTGGGAGCTGAGAGGGTAGTATCTTGGGCCTCTAATCCTGAACCAGTATGAACAGTAAGGATCTTTCCTAGTTATAGAATGGATTAGGAAGGAGCCTTCAAAGTTTTAAATATAGCATTATGCTGAGTGAACTACCTTAGTCTCATAAGGACAAACATCACATAAGATCATTATTGTAAAAATAGAAGGATAACTAGTAAAACATGTACAGGAACTTAAGAAGGGGAGAGGTGAGCAAAGGGGTGAAGACAGGTTCACAGGGCTGCACAGTTTGGTAGGTGGAGGGAGAGGGGAAAGCAAATGGGAAGGATTTGGGCAAAAAGACAGGGTAATGATGGACAAGGTTCAATGGTGATTGATTTTATAAAATATAGGAGAATGATTATATGAAACACAATGTGAATGAAGAATAGTGTGAAACACATGTAATATAAACTTTGTAAGCACACTAAAAAATAAAATGTATATGAATGATTGTATGAAACAATATAAATGAAAAATTATATAAAACACAATGTATATAAATTAAACATAATGTAAAGGAATTATTATATGAAAATCAATAAAAATTATTTTTTAAAAAAGTTTTAAACATAGAATAGGTTAGTGCCTAGGCGATGGGTTCTCATTTCAGATCCAGCGGCAAGGCCAAGGAATGGAGACCTATGTCCCACTACAACCTGCTTCATCTCCAAAACCTGAGAAAAGCAGCAGCATCGCATCCCTGGGAAGGCATCAGAAGTGAAGAGCGACCCTCAGATGAATAAAGAGAAACCGCACCTGCCTGCCTGTAGGCTTCGGCTTGCTAGCAGGTGTTTGGCCTGGCTCTGTGTGCCACAGTAAAGGGGTGAAGCTGGGTCAGGTTGTGGGAGTAGCAACTCTACCTCAATGAGAAACTGAGGAGCTGCAGAGCTCTGGGTGACACTCAAGGCCTAAAGGGGGCAGAAAAGAAAAAGTATATAATCTCTGGGCACTGCGCTTCGTTATACTTGTACTCTAACTCACTGTCAACATTAGCGCCTCACTTATCTTTTACCCTGTGTGTTAATCTAGAACTATGTTCCTTACCTCAACCAGCAGCTTCAGACTCTCCAGCTCTGCTGCTGTATCCCCCAGTTGCTGATATAGCCTGGAGGCCTCCAGAAGAGGGGGACCACAAATGGGTCCTACTTTCAGGGCTGCAACCAAGTACAACAGTGCTCTCTGTGGACTGCCCTATGTGGGTGGAAGAATACAAGCCTCAGATACCCTCCCAAAGCAGAAAGTTGTTCATAACACACATCATTTCCCCTTACCACCACCAGGACCATCTTTACCATCTTACGTAAACAGGTCCCCAGTGCTGTATACACTTGGACCAACACAGGCTGTGAACATAGACCTGATGCTGCTTCTTTCAGACTGCTCAGTGCCCTGGGTAAGCTCCCTGTGATCAGTTCCTGGAGGCCTGAGGGAAATCAGGGCATTAGCTTAGAGAAGATCTTAGGATAGAGTGAATGAGGGGTAAGAAAAACCCAGAGAGGCTCCCTGAGCCAGACTAGGACATGATAGAGGAACCCCAGAGGAACCTTTGAGATACGGAGTAAGAAGGAAAGATGAGTCATGTCGCTAACTGACCTTGATGAAAGGCAGTTGCTGTCAGAAGGACATCTCTTAAGTCCAAAGTGTCCTGCAAGGTCAGTGGGGCATCTGATTCCTCAGAAGGAGGGTTCCAAGACTTTAGAAACAGCAACAAATCCTCAGAGGCCCCACCCTAGAGAAAGAAAGATATACTTACTTAAGTTATAGACTTCAAGACTATAACCACCCTTTCTCCAGTCTCAGTCTATCCAGACTAAACCTTAAGATCTAGGGTCCTCCCCATTCCTGCTTCCCCAATTCTAAGAGTTTGACAACAATCAGAAAAAGATAAAGAGAAGAAGAAAAACCTTAGACAGTGATAATCTATTTATCTTCTTGCTCAGGATAAACCCACAAGGACAAAAAAAAAAAAGAAAAAAAAACCCATGAGGCAAGGTACCATATCTGGGATAGAGACAAGACTGAGACAGGGAGATAACTTGAGTAATATCATTAAGTCATAAAAATAATTCCCAAAGGAATCCCCCACTAAGGCCCAAAGATAACAAGGAAATAAAAGAATTTTATGTCTCTGGCCACTAATTCAGCAGCTTTCCTAGCATGTAATGATGCTACTAAAGCCAGAGAAAAGGATTCTCAGACCCTGGTCATTGTCCTTATTACCTGGCTACCATTCAGCGACTGCAACAGCAAAGCCAGGTCTCCAAGATTGTCGGTGCTCAGCCAGAGGGCAGCCTGAAGGGCAGCAAGGTGGTGCAGGGCAGGAAGTAGCTTAGGTGTAAGGGAGGCGGCATGGAGGACTGAGTCCCACAGCTCCCTGGGCCCACATTCCAGGCTGGGTCCCAGCTGCTCCTGGGCCGCTAGCACTGTAGAATACAAATACACACACAGCAAAGGTGGGACTTCATCCTCTCCAGCCCCATTCCTCTTCATGTCTTCCTCTTCTACAGAAACTCTAGGGTCATAGTGAAAATATCTCAACCTGGTCAGAGGGGCACAAGAGGATCAAAGAAAGATATCTGTCTATGAGGGTGACAGATTATAATGCTTTTCCCGTTTCCCTGAAAGCTAGACTGGAGCTAGCAGGAGCATAGATGTCAATCTCTGGTCCTCACCTCTTTCTAGGCCCTGGTGGATAGTCTGGGCCTCATCTCCAGAGAAGCTCTGGGTGCTGCTGGCTTTCAAGGTTATCAAGTTGCAGATAACAGTCAACTCCAAGGGGAGAAAAGAAACAGCAGCAGGAAGTCCTGGAGCAACAAATACTGGTTTTACTGACTACTCCTCCATCAAAGACACCTCAAATATTATTCCAACCCAGAGATCACCCCCATCCTCAATGAGTAACTTGCCATCTGGAGAGAGAGAGAGAGAGAGAGAGAGAGAAAGAGAGAGAGAGAGTGTGTGTGTGTGTGTGTGTGTGTGTGTGTGTGTGATCACTGATAAGACCATCCCAGAAGCCTTCTTTAGAAGACATAGAATATCACTATAAAAAAGCAATTCCAAAATTCCCCTTCAGTCTGGTCTGTGCCCGATCACACTTCTGTGTGATCCTCTCAAGCCCAGAAATGCTGAAGAGTAACTGGTCTCCTGCAGCCCTCCTGGGACTGACCCTTGCTTACCCTGCAGACTATGAAGCAGCTCCCTGAACCCCTGCAGTACATTCTGAGCCAACTGTTGTTGCCTCAGTAACAGACGGGAATCCCGAGTCACCTGCTGAATGTTGAAAAGGGTGTCACTGAGGATCAATCAGTCTTTTCCTTTCCCCTTGAGCCAGTGGCAGGGTCATTTCTGGCTCTTTGGAGTCGCCAAGCTCAGCCTCTTCCCTGCGAGGCTGGGACAAATTCGCTGCAAACCCACCTTCTGGGAGCTTGGGACTGCCAAGGGTCCCAGCAACTCTATTACCTTGGCCTGTCGAACCAGCTGATCATTCTTTTCTCTCCACAGATCCAGACAACTGGAGCGTGGCGCTATGGTGTCCAGAGGGGCCTGAGACATGGCAGCTAAAGCTGGGGCCGGCCACCCACCCCCAGGGGAGGCCGAAGCTCCCACCTGAGCTGAGAGGACCCCGAAGCCTTCTGCACCCTGCTACAGCTCCGTCCGGCCGCCCCACCTTTTCCAGGAAAAGCGAATTTCCTCCCCTTCCCGCCGCTCGCCCCGGCTTTCCACCGCGCCTCTGGTTGGCGGAGCCCACGGGCCTGGCGGCTGTGGTTGGTCAACCTCAGGAGTGGGGCCCCGTGGGAAACTCGGGGAAGAGACGACTCTGCGGGGACCCGTGAGGGAGACGGGGGAAGAGCGGGGACGGGGCAGCGGGTGCTGGGCTCGTGCGTCCGCCTGTTTGACTTTGGAAGTGGCCAGAGCTTCCAGGAAGAGGGACGTGGAGCCAAGCGCGGCTCCCCAGCCTGCACCTCCGCCGTTCTCGCGGCCACATAAGCAGGTCTCCCCCTTCGGAAGGGCTGCCCCGCGCGCTGCTTGCTGGGAGTTGTAGTATCATCACCAGCAACCGGGGAAAGTTCAGCGCGAGAGGAAAAAGTGTCTCCAAAAGGCACTGGCGGGGCACAGGACCCTCTGTAAATGGCTCTCTACAGTTGTTCCATTTTTAGAGCTTCGGGAGGTCCTTACATCAGGGAACTTGAGTTTCGTGTATTCGCCGCTGTCTTTCAACTGCCCTTGTACGGTCTGCAGTATTCGAAGATAGCCGCTTTTGAACAAGTGGTCGTAGCATTGTTTGAAAATACAATAATTATGATCTTTGATCCTTTCCTCAGACCCATAAAATTACCTAAACATTTATCGCAAACCTAAGTTTTAAGTTGTTGCTGTTGTTAAGTGCCCTCCACTCCATATGACTGATGGCAACCCTATAAGACACAGCTCTTGTCTTGTGCCATCATCATCTGACACACTTTATTTCATTGCTGCAGCCACTGTGTCAATCCATCTGGTTGAGAGTCTTCCTCTCTTTCACTAACATCTCCACCTTCCCAAGCATGATGTCTTTCTCCAAGAAATAGCCTCTCCTAGCTGCATGCCCAAAGTACGGGATACAAACTTCACTGTCCTCGCCTCCATGGAGCACTTTGGCCATATTTTTTCTGAGGCATTCTCTGTTCTTTAGGTAGTCCGCAGGCTATTCAGTACTTTTCTTCAACACAACACAAAGGCAAACATCAATTCTGTCATTCTTATTCATTGTCCAGCTTTCAAATGGATGTTGTTGTTGTTATGTGCCATC